CAGCGCATCCACTGCGTATGAGATGCGTATGAGTTGCGTATGCAGTGCCCAAGTTCGCCATCTGTGCGTTTCTCATAAGTTACGAATAAGTACAATGCGCTGCCCGCTCGCAGGACGAGCGGTACTAATTCGTGCAACACGTCGCTATGTATACGTCCAATATAGGAGGTCAGCGTATTGCCGCGTATGAACGGCTTATCCCTCACGAACACATAGCGTTCTCGTACCGCGCTCGACCGATGCGGGACCGATGCGCTGTGTATTTATAACTTATGACCTGCGTAACAGCGTACGCAGCGTAGTTTTGTGCATGCCCAAAACTATCCGGCGTACTGGGCCGTACCATGCTATGCCTGCGTACATAAAACTAACATAAAACGATAGAGATGCATATGAGGTGCGTATTGTGCGTACGACTGCGTATGAAAAAAAGTCAACGCGCAACTCATAAGGAATTAGGATGCGCAGAAGTGTGACAGGGCGCTTTGTGTTCGTGAGGGATAAGCGGCAATACGCTGACCTCCTATATTGGACGTATACATAGCGACGTATTGCACGAATTAGTACCGCTCGTTCTGCGAGCGGGCAGCGCATTGTACTTATTCGTAACTTATGAGAAACGCACAGATGGCGAACTTGCGCACTGCATACGCAACTCATACGCATCTCATACGCAGTGGATGCGCTGAACTCGTTACTTGTCCGCCAGATGTGCGTTGCACATATGTCAAAGTAATCACAAAAATTCGACGTTTTTGATCGTGCGAAGAAAAGCTGATTTCAAGTTTATAACTTCATGCATATTCACATTTACTCGTTCTGTCTGCTCAACTTTTTTTCTCCAATTATGTTTTATATTTATTTATATGTCAAAGTAATCACAAAAATTCGACGTTTTTGATCGTGCGGCTGCGTATTGAAAATTGTTGATAAGGAACTCATAAGGAATTGGGATACGCAAAAGTGTGATAGGGGCTTATGTATTTACTGGCGAATGGGCCATTCAGTAAAGCTTTTACGCAAACATATTCTTATATGCGTACACTTACACGTGTAAAGGTACCAATAAGGAGACACGTTAACTTTCGTAATATTTTGCACGATGGGAGACATCGGTCATTGGGGAGACATTTTATATATATATTTTTCGTTATTTTTTTTTTGGGGGGGGGTGGGAGGAAGTGTGTCTGCTCACTGTATTCTCTAGCTGACAAATGGTTATGGTTGGTTATGGTTATGGTTATTTTTTCATATCATAGCACAACAACATAATAATCAGGAAACTATATAAAGAATGACAAACAATGATACGAGGGATCCAGGTAAAAAGCATATGCTTGTACAAGACCTGGAACCCATAATTACAAAATAAGCTAATAAATTAATATGTACATACAATAGGCTGAATTCTTTTAGGTAATAAACTCATAGTAATAAAATCGAAAAGAAATGAAATTAACAGCAAATTTTTTTTCACATTCGTATGAATATACATAGGCCTACACAGTACTTTCGTACGTCCATACATTACAAGGAATAAATCAATTAATTCATTACAAAACAGGTAAGGGAGGAAGGGGCAAAGAAGCAAAAAGTGGCCAAGGAATTATAAAACCATACTATATTTTTCAACAATATGTGAGGTGAGATGAATATGCAATTTATTGGGATACTTAATTATCAGTATAATTTGTCAGTAGCAACTTTTTCATGTAGTTTTTGAAGTTTTTCATTGATCTAAAGTTAGGCATTGGTTTGAGGTGGTTCCACAATAGAGGTCCCTGGTTTCTGATAGTCGATAAGTACACAGATGTTCTAGCTTTATGGAGATATGGAGGTTTGAGGCTGACCTTGTATTATGAGAATGGATATCTGAGTTTTTGTTAAATAGCAAATGTATAGTTTTGGGTAATTTGTTTGTTTCGAATTTATACATTGATTCACAAGATGGTATTTATACAAGTGAAAAACAGATAAGGTTTTTTATTTACTAAACAATAATGCTGAATGTTCTGTATATCTGGAGTTATTAATTATCCTAAGTGCTTTCTTTTGCATAAGGTTGGGTATATATACCAATACCATATTGAAGGTGAAATTCATCAACATCTCTAAAAAAAACACCGCGAAAACAACATGGTGTAAAAGGTTGTCGTGGTTTCAGGTCAATGGGGCCATGCGATGAATTTCGCACACATACTTATTAATATTTACAAAAATTACTAACCCTAGAGTTAATGCTTATTTACACATTTGTATTTGCTTAGAGGAATTATTAAATCAATTGAGCATGCATTACAAGTATTGCTTTTTAATTAAATCAATAAACTGGTATCTTGACTAACAGTTTCAATAATTAAACATGTGTAGACTGTTAATGATAATTCAATACTAATCATCACATATAAGGTTCAGGTGATTACAAGTTTATAAGTTAATTCACATTGCCTAGTTCTGTCGGTTAAACAATTTTTCTTCAATTCTTTTTTTGTTTTATTAATGTCTGCTCATTATGTCTACAGTAGATGGATTATTCATTAACCTCTATAATCAAAACACACATAGACCTACACGTAGTGTTGTATGTTGCCATGTTTTCTTGTGCGTGTAATAAACCAATGTATCAACCCTGATCCTTCTTTAGACGAATTTCAAATTGACACTGAAACCAAAGCCCAGTGCTCCTTTTGTTTAAAGGATTCAAAAAAGAAAAGGACTGGTCTTCAATTTATGCAATGGCTTAGCACTGAGATCCTTGGTTTAAATCCGTATACCAAGGTGATTTTTTTTGGCGAACATTGTACGGGCGTTACAAACAATTTACGTTCTCACGAAGCAGAAACAAACCCTTTTGCGCTACGTAAACACGAAAAATATTGGTGTGAAGTTTCTTTCGTCAAATGTCTAAGTTTGATTATTAAGAAAGTAGATAGCAATTCGCTTAGACACTTGGTTACATTGTTGCTTTAGAAAAATATAAACAGACGACAGAAAACAGAAATCAATAAAAAATATCGGTTTTTTCAGGTGTTTTTTTTTTAAGCATCCAAGACAACTAAGACATAAAATAGTAGACGGACCAGTCATTATATGTCATGAACAGCTGGTGTTACTCCTTAATTTTAGAAGGTATCTACCGCCCTCTGTCGTCATCACCCAAAAAATGCCACACCAAAAATATTGGGCAAATAATTCGTTGGGCAAAAAAATATAAACAACGCAATATGTATAAGCAAATTTGCCCAATAGGTGAACGCGTTAACTATTCGCCAATCGTTGGTCGGATAATTAACCCATTTTGGCCAACTTTTTACAGTGCAGAAGATTCGCTTGAAGTAATAACAAAACCACACAACGGTTTCTCATATGTCTGAACATATTACACGAATGAACATATGTTAACAACATCTTATTACATTATTTAATGCGTTTCGTCGTAGTATACTATTGGTTTTTGATACAAAGGCATAATTAAAATCGATTTCAGCAATTGGTAAATCCATGCAGTATCTGCACGATACTGCATGAAAATAAAAATAACTCCCTACTACTTATTTCTGAGTTTTGTTTATACTAAGCTAAACCAGAAATATTACAAAGACAAAGTGTCCTGTTGTGGATTTTACAGTTGTGTAGCCACTCAGACAATCCTCAAATCATCGTTTCATTTTTATTCAAGATATACAAAGAAATCGCACAGTGACCCTTATTCTGATATAACTTACGCATAATATTTGTACAGGAAAGCCACGGCGAATGTCTATTTACCAATAACAAAATGTCCAATAAAAATGTCCATTTAGATAAGTCCTTGTCTTGCACAAAAGTGGGACAGGTTACCAGTTTTGAAAACAGTCAGTGAAAGTTTCACTGATATTTAGTCTTGCATCTTTGTGACTAACCCAAAACACAACCAACACAATGTTTAGATTATGACTCAACACAATAGCAACAATGGGCATCCAGACCATATAGAAACAGGATATCAATGAAACGAAATTACATTTATTAAATATGAATATTTGAATTACAGATTTCTTTTTAATTTTTTTTCTGTCCTGTTTATTTTCTTCCTTGTGTCACTTTGTCCGTATTTTACAACGTTTCTGCGCCCTGGCCGAACGTTAGGCTGCCCTTACCTCCGAAAACTGTTGTTCAATTTGACGTTTCGTGTTTTGTACGCTATACCTGTTTCATAAAACAGTCTGACCATAAAGATTCTTTAGACAGCAGTGAACTGTGGCAAGGTCTTGGCCATTTTGAAATGTTCTGTCTAGCAGTGTGCTGGTCCTTAGGTAAATATATACTCTTAGAAAAACATGATGTAAACAATGTGTTGGTTGTGTTTGTAGATAGTTATAAAGAGAGGCCCGGATCTCTTCGTGCATGGCTGAATATAGGACCGAATGTTGGCTGAAGAGAAATGAGTGCGTTTCGATAATAAGCTCTTGCGAAAAATGCGATGCCGACGGCACATATAGAACACCATACTATTGGTCAATTTTGGGAGCATTTCCTCCTTTTGGTACCGTCCAACCTCTACACTAAATGGCGTGCACCTTGTTCGAGGAAGATGTTGTACAGCGCAAGTACGAGTGAACAATAAGCTCTGGCAGCGTTGCAGGAAGTCTTGCCAGACAGTCTTGCATGAAATCGATCAAAATGATCTCTGCCAGAGCTTACAAATGCGACCGACCGACCGACCACCGGGTGACATGTAGTACCTTCTGCCAGAGCTTATAAACTGGTAATCTTTTGTGGAAGACAAGGACACTTTTTTTTTTAACTCGCCCTGAATGCCTGTAGTAAATCGACACAAGGCATGTACATCCTGTAATACAGGACAAGATATTTCTAAATTACATTTTCTGATTCCATGTAATGATAGAGCGTTGTTAGTCGTTTGGATATGCAAGTTGTTTAGTCTCCCTCCTGTACAATTTCATCCTTGTTTGGTAATTGATGAAACATTTTCATGAGTCATTTTCTGCGAGATTTTCTCACAGTTTCTCGTTCGTGCCTTCGGCGCCTTTCACATTGTAAATCCTTTCATCCAGGTTCTTCATGGTGAGGTAATCCTGTCAAGTATTGACAGAAAAATATATTATTGTATGACTGGCACCTATATGTTGACAGTGATGTGTGTTCACCCGTTTAAGTTATTGTAGGTGCTATAAGGAATCAGTTTTCGTTTGTGGTACAGGCGAAACTGGACTTGTTTACTACGAAATCCCGTATCTTACTTCTTAAAACCTGTCGCCAGATCCAACGCAGCATGATTCTGTTGGTATGACCAAAAATTGTTGAAAGCGTGGTTTTTGTATGGCCAAAAAAGAGTTCTGTTTCCGATAACATGGCATTTGAATATAGGGTAGTTAGGGATTTTTTTGTTTGTTTGTTTGTTGGGTTTTTGTGTGTGTACGATCATATGGAGGTGCCTGTAGGCATGGTAAAATGTAGTAATTGATAATATTCGGTATTTTTTCTTCATTTTGCCTTCGAAAAATAGGGTAGGGGCTGTCAAAATAGGGTAGTTAGGGGAATCGGAAGCAGAACTTTTTGGGGGGCATAACCGGTCTAATACTTCACCTCCATGCACTTGCCTCTCTTCGCTCGGTATAAGCATAGTATACATGGGTACTAGTATGAGCTCAGGAGTATATTACACCTACAGAACATGATTTGAATATCGTTCTGTGGGAAAATGTGTTATATGTAATCATTGTCATTTCATACCTAGGACAACGGAGTAAGACGCCGACCTTGTGATCCGCCACTGGGTTGGGACAGTACTGCATTATATTTCTGCTAGCATTGAAATAGCGGGCTATTTAATAGCTTTATATCGAACCAAATCATGTGGCAACTGAGACAAACGTCCAGTCTTTCTGCTGGTGTTAAACACTTTGAAAAAATTGTGTCACTTGCCTCATCTTTAGACGCCATATCGGCAAATTGCCAATACAGACGCTGAAAGCTGGGTCGATCCTTGGGAATCTCCTGCCAACAGCTGCGCATCATTTTATACCTAAAACATGAAACATAATATGCTAATCGTGTAATAAATTAAGACATAAAGAACACTCATTCTTTCAATCTCCATGTCTACTTTCGAATTCCTGTCTTCAAAATTGAGGTAACATGTTGTTGCAGTTCATTGTCCATTTAAAGTTAACTCAAATTGTGAGTCAAAGTGTTGGTTCTTTTTCTCTGATTGATTCTGATTGATTGGGTTAATATCAAAACACTAATTATTGATTTTGATGAATTGAATGAACTGTGAAACAAGGCTTGTGTTAAGACATGATGTAGTCTGTGTGCCAAACTGGTGCTCTGGTAACTCGAGTGGGTCGAACTTCTGCTGGTTGGGGATCCTTAGATGGTAACGCAATGTCTAGGATTGGATCTGGTGTTGGTTTGGACAGCATGATGATGTGATGTCTATTTCGACGGTACTCAGTGCCGTTGAAGCAGATGATGTAGGACCGCGGAGTACCAGCATGGCGTACAACTTCACCTTCTGGGCTCACCTGTCCTTTGATTCGGATCTTGACCTTGTCTCCCGGTGTCAATTCATCAAGGTCTCTTGCTCCATGTCTTTTGTTGAAGTTTTGTCTGCTCTTCATCTTGTTGACACTGTCTGCAATCTTTAGCTTGTCGTAGTTGATATTCTTAGGCTAATGATTGCGAGGCAAGGTCGGAAGTGTTGTGCGTATCTCCCTTCCCATAAGGAGACTCTGGACTTATCTCCCTTCCCATAAGGAGACTCTGGACTCTGACCAAGGCTAGGCAAAGGCGTTGACCTGTACATCATAAGGGCATGGACTGGGTCAGATTGACTCAACAGTCCAGCTTTGTGTACAGCTTTCTCTGCTTGCCCGTTGGCCTGTGGGTAGTAACTGGGAAAGCTGTTCTCACGAGCGAATTGGTCGAATTCGCCCAGAAATTGTGGACCGTTGTCAGTCCCCACCACTTCAGGAATGCCGTATCTAGCGAATGTTGCCTTCATGAAGTTAATCACGGATTTGGCTGATGTCGAGTGGAGGTGATGCAACTCTATCTATCGAGAATAGTAGTCTACTACCACAAGGTACATCTTCTCTTTCACCTCAGCTGGGTCGCAGGCAATTTGCTGCCATGGTCTCTGTGGTAGTTGTGTAGACAACAGGGGCTCGGCTCGTTGTGATGGTTGCATATCCTGGTAATGGGGCAAGACTGGACATACTGAGCTATGTCGGTACTCATGCCAGGCCAACAAACAGCTTGATTGGCTCGGAGACGGCTTTTCGAGATGCGTTGACGACCCTCATGGATTCTCTACAACAATTGTTGTCTCAGGCTCAGTGGTATCACAATGCAGTGACCATATGTGAGAATACCACCTACTAAGCTGATCTTGTCCTGGTCATCCGAGAACCGTCTCAACTCTGGCTCAACATCTTTCTGTACTTCAGCCATCCATCTTTGACGAAATAGATGACTGCACTCAGGGTACGGTCGCGGCTGGTGTCTGCAGCTATTTCAACCACTCTTGCATCAGATGTAGGCCACTGGGATGTGATCAGGTGAACATGGGCTTCGACCTCATCTTCCAAATCTTCATTGGACTCTGTCGTTTTGTCATGATGGAGAGGGGCACGTCAGAGTGCGTCAGCCACAACCAGGTTCTTACCTGGGGTGTACTCGTTGGCAACGAAGGGGGCATTACACAAGTCCTGGCTGATTAAGGACACAAGAGGTTTGTGGGTTGTCTGGAGCGTCACTCGGAGACCACGGAGATAGATGTAGAAACGCTCGCATGACCAGACAGGAGCCAGTAGCTCCTTTTCGATCTGTGTATAACGTTGTTCTGCACGTGTCAGGCTTCGGAAGCAAGTGTGCTACTGGCCTCCAGCAATCGTCTTCCTGCTTCTGAAGGATTTAACCACCAATGCCGTAACTGCTGTTATCAGCTCCGACCATTCTTGGCTTTGTTGGGTCGTAGTATGCAAGTGTTTGAGCTGTCGTTAGCAGAGTCTTCAAAAAAGAAACGCGGTTCGTTGCGCTGGGCCTCAAGTCCACTCCTTGTCGTCTTTCTTCAGGTCGTTGATCGGTGCGGCTACATAGGCTGAATGAGGTATGAAGCGAGAAAGCCAGTTGACCATCCCCATCAGACGTTTGACTTCCTCCTTCGTTATAGGCGGCGACATTTGCAGAATCGCGTCTACTTTGGCAGGGTCGGGATAAATTCCTTCCTTATGGCCGAGGAAATTCACCTGTTCTTGTGCAATTTTGCAATTGTCTTTGTTGAGCCTCAACCCAGCTCCTTAGAGGGTTTTGAAAACATTTCGAAGACGTGCATCATGTTCCTGCGATGTAGCGCCCGTGACGAGAACATCGTTCATGTTAACAACGACTCCTGGGAGATTTACCAGCAGATCACTTATGATTCTCTGGTACAGCTCGGGTGCTGACGTTATGCAAAATGGCAAGCGTTGAAGCAAAAGCTGCCAAACGGTGTGATAAATGTGATCAGCTTCTGGCTGTCAGGATAAAGAGGAATTTGCCAAAATCCGTGCTTGGCATCAAGGATGGAGAACAGCTGGGCAGTGGCAATTTTACCCAGTACTTCTTCCAAGGTAGTTATGGTAATGTGCTCTCTGGCCACGGCTTTGTTCAGCATTCGCAGATCAACGCAGATCCTGATGTCCCCATTTTTCTTGGGAGCAATCTCAATCGGGGCGCACCAATCAGTAGGCTCTGTGATGCGCGAGATGATCCCATGTTTCTCCATTTTCTCCAGTTCTGTCTTGAGCTTTGAATGCAAGGGCAAGGGGATGCGACAAAGGCATGGAGGCAATGGGGTGTTGCATTGTCGGTCAGCTTTATCTTCACTGGGGGGCCTCGAAGGCATCCGGTTCCCTTGAAAACACTGCTGTCATTGACCAAGGTGTACACACGCTGCACCAGGTATAGGGACACACAGGCATAAAACTGGCTCACCATCATCAATAGCAAGAAAAGTCAGAACATGGTACTTGCCCTGGACTTCACAGGATAGACGCTTCTGCCCTCTCGGTTTGACTTTGCCGCCGAAGAAACCACACAAACGGCTGGTAGGCTTGAACTGCAAGGTCGTGTCACGGAGCTTGAGGGTGCGGTAAACATGTAACGGCAGTATGTTTACCTCTGACCCGGTGTCGAGCAGAAAGTTGACGGGCTTGTCCTCAATAACGACGGTCTGACGCCATGAAGTGTGTAAACTGCTTTTGCCTGATACTGAGCCGACGAAGAACTCAGTTTCATTTTCAGAATCTGAAGATGAAACTGGATAATTGGAAGCGGTCACAGCTCGCGTGTGTTTGCACTTGAACTGGCGGGCGTTGCGCTTGGGCGGATGAGCGTTGGGCGTCTTTTGTCGAGGTAGATGTTGCACTGCTTGAGCAGCGGGTGTGTGGAGTACGAGTCCCAACTTCCAGGACTTTCTGGAAAGTGAGGTTGTCCTTTGTCAGAAGATGCTTCTGAACGTACTCGCTACAGAGGCCACAAATCAGACGACGATGCAAAGCGTCATCCATAAATAGCCCAAACTGGCAGGGGCTGGCCAAGTTTTGTAGTGCAACTTCATACTGAGCGATGGATTCATCGGTGTGTTGATCGCGTTTGTAAAATCTGACTTGCTCTGCTACAACTAGACGCTTCGGGCCGTAGTATGACATCAGTATTTCACACATTCTTTGTAGCTCTTCTGTGACTCAGGAGTTGGTTCAGCCAGGCTTTTATACAGTCTTGTAGACAATTGAACCAAGTGCGAGACGTAGTTGCGAATGTCTTGGTCAAGACGCTCTATGTAGTTGCGAATGTCTTCAATCTGGTCGTATGTGTCCAGACGGCCGATGAGCAGAGCGGCGGATACCGCCCTCAACGATGGGGATTGCGCCATTGCGGTGTAGGTCATTTCCCGTGCGTGAAACTCACAAAAGTTCGGACGTTAGTTGTAGCTTAGAATGTCACTTTTTGGTGTGAAAAGTGGAATGCAAATTGACGGCTTTTTTATTCTGAGTCAACCACCGCTGCCATCATGTTGTGATGTGCGGACTCACCATTTGGGGTTCGCCATGTGGGCCGCCATGTTAGCACATGATTTATTAATAGATGCATGTACTTACAGAACGTGCAGTTCGTTACACAATACATAGTGTGCAAGGCATGAAACACAAATCATTCAGAGCATTCGCATTAGCTGGCAGTACTTACAGCTTTTTCTTGCATTGTCGAGGCCTCGGCATACGATAGCCCTGCTGTAATACGTTTATCATTGTCGTTGGTGTCATCAGCGGATACGGCCGTGCACCTGTCAGACATTTAAATGTATTCAAACATTTGACTGTTGATGCTCACCGACGAATACAAATTAAGCCTAAACGTTATTCCACGCGCAACACATATATCTTTGTTAACACCTTCAATTGTGCAATCCATATTGTGCCTATTTTGTTGATACTGTAACAGTCGTCAAATTCCGTGTGAACAATACGCTCAACAAAAAAGCTCAAGGATTAGCAAATACATTCTTTAGAGAATCTTTAATGTTTTTTTCAACCCCCAAATCCCCAACTCAACAGAATAGACTATGAAGTAAGAGTTCTTAAAAACGAAAAAGATGAATTCCTAATGTGCCTTAGAGTAATCAAACACGGCGAGCATGTAAGACGCTTTCCGTCTTCATCGGGTACGAATTTGTCACAAAATGAACACAAGCAGTATACCGCATTGCACAGCGCGCTTATAGCACAAACGCACTGCGTCTCAAAAAACACATGCTGCAGGCACTTTGATTGGTCCTTCACCAATATTGTAATAACTTTCTTACTACAATAAACTACTGAAACTGAATAAGAGAAGCGAAATCGTCTCCAAGTGCAGGCATCGAGACAGATGTGTTCTTACTTCAGTGACGTAAACGCGTACTAACTTCAATGACGTAACGCGCGTAACGCGTGCGCGCGCTTGATTCGAAATAAGGTAAGATGCTACTTGTATTCTATTTTTCGTCATTCTGCTGATGAGTGCCTTATGTTCCAGTTCTGTCACTTACCAAGTGTCACAATCTCCCATAGCAGAATTCCAAATGACCATACGTCACTCTCCGTTGTGTACACATCGTGAAGAATGCATTCCAATGCCATCCAGCGGATGGGAAGAGGACACTGCAGAAAGAGTTTTGAAGAGCTATGTTGGTCCTGTGTTAAGCTAAAACTGTGATCTGGCAATGCTGTCGTTTGACAATTGTGCGGATAGTATCAAATATACAGCGTTGGAATTTTGACATTAATGATGTCTCGTTTTAACGGATTTATATACAAATTGCGGTTTTCGTCTGGTACCTGCGATTCTCGATGGTAGATACGGATGTTCATAACGTCACGGGCCAGTCCAAAGTCAGACACTTTACAAACCATATCTTCTCCCACCAACACGTTACGAGCGGCAAGGTCACGATGCACATACTGAGAAAAAAATAATAAGCAACGGAAAATCTGCATATACATGTATATCCCACCAAACGGCGGGTTGGTGTATAATAAGACTAACAAGCAAATGGCGAAAGAAATGATTGTTGCTGTCCTCAAAGGAAAGGATCAGTCTTTACGCCCTTGGGTCCTCTTTCTTCCTATCTCATTGAATGACTGACTTTATTTTGTGACTTTTACATCCCTTAAAAATACAATTATAGTTGCCGATGTCATATGAAAATCGGACTCCTATGAAAATCGGAATCCTTTAACCTATTATTGGTTAAACCCTCTCACATGAGCGACCCTTCTCCTTATTGTCAAATAAAAAATTTCGGGGCCCTTAAGCGGGCCCCGAACCCCACGCCGTAATTGTTTGGACCCACTTTTTGGGGGGACAAATTTTTTTTTGGCCCCTCCCAAAATTGTGTTCCGGATCCGCCCTTGATTGGTGTGGCATTGGAGTTCACATGCGCAGTGGGCGTGGCTTACTCGATGGGCCGACTGTGTTTCTATAATTTATATTTTAATAACCGTGTGTGTCTGTGTGTGTCAATAATCGATATATTGATTGAACTATATATTTTACCTTTTGTGAGGATATGTAAGCCATTCCATTTGCGACATCCCTGGCAAACTCGACCAATGTCCTAGACAGTGATTTGCTCAACCCGGGTACGTTGGCGTAACCTGTCCCTGGGTCCTTGTCTCGATACTCCATCAAAACATTCTTCAGGTCACCCTTAGCAAGGTACTCAACTATCACGTAAATGGGATCTAGAATAAATCACAGAAATTACTCAAGCCGTCCACACTTTATTTTGTGTAGCTTTCTATAATCATACTCTCTTCCAAAGCGTAAGCCAAAAAAGAACAGAACGGCTCATGTGCATATCACTCCAATACTCTGAAAGGGAAACACTGCAATGGAAACGGGAGTGGAAACTGTAAGCCTACAATGGTGTTCTCGAAATGATGAGTTTCACCCTTCTTCGTCTTGTCCCTAGTTTTAGTAAAATGGAATCGGAGTTTCCGGTAAGAGTGAATTTTCATTAAAGAGTATAGTGATATACCTTTTTCTGCACAATATCCCAGCAGCTTGACCACGTTTGGATGAGAGCCGACTGTTTTCATCACCTGCAACTCGGCCACAAGCCCGTTCTTGGCGTGTCTGTTAGCGCCCTCTATAAATTGATGAGGCGGTTAATAAAAAATAAGAAATAAGAGGTTTCCGACCTCAGCTTTATGATCGCAGACCCCAGAATTATGTGAAAGCCAATATGCCTCAAATGGAACCACTAGAAGCCTTGGATTGTATCTGTCTGAGAGAGAAGGGAACTATCTTGGGTCGATTTACACTAAACAGGGACCAAGGGACCAAAGCCAAAGACAACCTAAGGTTTGGAAGATCCAGTGGAAAGACACTGTCTACACATGCTAACGAAGTTTGGAGGTTTATACAGTTTGTACAACAAGAAAAGACAATCTTCGAATACTCCCATTGTCGGTTATATTATTGCAAAGATCGACTTTTGGTGCGCTTGTCCCTCCGTATCAGTGCTAAAGAAGCTATAGACAGCATGTAGCGTAGAATAATAATAATAATAATAATAAATAATAATAACATATTGTAATACTAATAATAATTATCCTTTTTTAAGATGGAATTTTGCGTCGGGGTGATATAAATCAAATTAGGTTTTTGCCCTTCATCGACGTTTTTAAACACTGTATCCTCAGTGTGTTACCTCCCGAGTGAAAGTTGGAAAAAATCACTCGAGTGGGACTTAAAATAGTTTATGCGGTACCCGCTGCTATGTACATCAGATTCGAACCGGCCAACCGATCCCGTTAGCTCGGTGGTCGAATGGTAAGACATCTGCACTAGAAAGCAGGAGGTCGTGGGTTCGAGTCCCACCCGAGTGATTTTTTCCAACTTTCACTCGGGAGGTAACACACTGAGGATACAGTGTTTAAAAACGTCGGTGAAGGGCAAAAACCTAATTTGATTAATAATTATCCTGTATGATATAATAGGGCGGCTTTCCCACAGACTTGTGCACAAACCTAAAATTAATGTCACCTTAACCAAAGTTTACCTTATCCTTTCTCCACAAGATTCGGCATTTTTACTCATTGGACCACGATGAAATCGATCTAGATGGTGGCGACATGTCCTAAGGGTCGTTTTCACAAATAGGCGATAGTTATATGTCGCCTTAATAAGGTGTGTCGCCCTAAATGTGGACGCAGTTAGCAAAATGTGTCGTCCTATTATAGCATTCATACCATTCAGACCACCACCACCACGATTACTAACATTAACAGCTGCATGTAGTCAGAGCAATGTATTGGAAACTTCTTTCAAGGGACGGATTTTTGGAAGGAGAGATAATATTTACACATAGGGAAAGTAATACAGCTATACCGTACACATTTCAGTGAATGAAAGGCAATTTGATGCTGTAATGAATCAGATGTGTTCAATCAACATATTTTTAGCTGTTTCGTTGACACACCGAAACAGCTCTTGTTTTCGTTAAGTTTTTTTTCTTTTTAGCTGTTTCGGTTTACACACCAAAACAGCTCTTGTTGGCTGTTTCGACACTTTTGCCGAAACAGCCTTTATTTTCGTTAAGATTTTTATTTTTAGCTGTTTCGGTGTACACACCGAAACAGCTCTTGTTTTCGTTAAGATTTTTTTTTCTTTTTTGTTTCTCCTTTTTCAGACTTTTTCTCCATAGGTTTAACACACGTTTCTTCTGGCAGTCCACTTTGCCACTTTTATAAATCCGATTGATTTCAGACTTGGTACATACTTAGACCACCACCCACAGATGGTCCTAGAAGAAATTTGTGATCGTGACGTCATCAGGTGTCAGGTTACGTCACATTAAAGATGCATTTTTCCCCATATGTTTTGTACACGTTTTAAAACACTCCAGTTCGGCATTTTCGTAAATCCGATCAACTTTAAACTTAATTCATACTTAGACCACCACCCACAGATGGTCCTTGAAGAAATTCGTGATCGTGACGTCATCAAGTGTCAGGTTACGTCACATTAAAGATGCATTTTTCCCCATAGGGTTTGTACATGTTTTAAAACGCTCCATTTAGGGCACTTTCGTAAATCCGATCGATGTTAGACTTGGTACATACTTAGACCATCACCCACAGATGGTCCTTGAAAAAAATTGTGATCGTGACGTCATCAGGCGTCACGTTACTTCACATTAAAGATACACATTTTCCCCATGGGTTTTGTACACGTTTTAAAACACTCCACTTTGGCACTTTCGTAAATTCGATCGACTTTATAGTTGGTACACACTTAGACCACTACCCATAGATGGTCCTAGAAGAAAGTCGTCATCGTGACGTCATTAGGTGTCAGGTTACGTCACATTAAAGATGCATTTTCCCCATAGGGTTTGTACACGTTTTAATAATACACTCTACTTTGGCACATTTGTGAATCCGATCGATATTACACTTGGAACATAATAATTAGACTACCACCCACAGATGGTCCTAAAAGAAAGTCGTCATCATGGCGTCATGATGTGTCAGATTACGTCACATTAAAGATGCATTGTTTCCCAATTGGTTTTGTACACGTTTTTCTTCAAACCAAACACTTTTCCACTTCTATATGCCTGATTGACTTTACACTTGTCAGACACTAGTAAAACCAGCATCCTAAGATGGTCCTCAGTGAGATCGTAATGATGACGTCATCACGTGTCACGTGACATGACATTAAATGAGCATTTCTTTGAATCGCTATTCTTTTATAGGCCTATATCTACAGAACTATAATGTTCGATTTGGTTGTAACTTGACATGTACGTATTATAATGTGCTGTTATAGATGACATACTGATTGTTCGTCAGGTGCACAGAGTTTTTCAAATATCCGAAACAGCTTGTGTTTGTCCACAAACACATTTCTAGTTTTCTTTTGTTTTTTTTCTTCTTCTTTTTCAGCCATTCCTCATAGCATTTGTACACGTTTTTACAGTGGAAGGCACTTTGGGCACTAAAATCAATCCGATTGACTTTATACTCGGCACACACTTAGACCAGCATCTGAAGATGTGCCCCGAAGATTGACGTCATGGTGACGTCATCGACTAATTTATTATAGAATTTTGAATATTTAATTTTTCCCATACACTTTGTACACAGAAATCAAAAAAAAATTGTCGATTTTCAAAGGGCATTTTTGACTCTTTGCCAGTAATTCATTTGCACCAATCTTTGTCCAAGCAAAGACCCTAATTCAAACAACATTGTGTAATGATGACGTCATGATGACGTCATCCGGTGTGTGTTTATAGGCAATTAAATTGTGACACTTTTAATATTTAAAAATGCATAAGAAATCAACCGTATGCGTCTGCAGCATTCTGTTACCGGCAAGTGGTAGAGTAGGTTAAGGTCTTTATTTCATTCAGTGTGCGTAAAATCACGTGACCCTTGCTTCCGGTCAAAAAAAGACCAAAACCGGAAGTGGCTTATTATTTAAAAATGGCAATAGATATGAACTTCTTTTAACGGTGTTAGTCTCTTGGTTAAAAGTTTTCTTCAAATCATCTACCAATGACGTCATGCAATCTTCGAGCGCCCTCTAGCGACAGGTCGAAAATTTGCAAAAATGTATTTTGAATAGATGTCTGTGGCGAAGTTTGTCGGAATCGCCTAAATATTGGTGTATATGATGACCTTGACCCACTTAAGACGTGTGCGAAGTTTTAGGCGAATGACGTCATCAGACCGGAAGTTATAATAAAAAGACACTTTTTCATTTGAAAATTCCTGAAAAATCAACCATGGTAGTTTCTATGTTAGTTTTTACTTAAATTGTCGACTTAAGAGTAGGTCTAAAACATTTCAAAGCTTCGAGGCAATAAGCGAACTCGGACATGCCCTGCGCAAGCTTAAAACTTCAGGTTGACAATACCTCTAGCTCTGCTCTTAAACATGCACAGAACGTCTATATGTACATGTACATACACGTACGTAACGCGCATACATCGTATGTCAGTCAGCCTGCAGAGCACGTGTTGCCGAGGTCAAATCCTGTCCACATCACAGTGACCGTTTTAGCCGATTTTCGGCTAACTTTGACAGACTTTATGTTCATGCATGCGCATAGTCAGCCCTATGTTTGTCCACAAACATATGTCTAGTTTTCGTTAAGATTTTTTTTCTCTCCTTTTTCAGACTTTTTCTCCATAGGTTTAACACACATTTCTTCTGGCAGTCCACTTTGCCACTTTTTAAAATCCGATCGATTTCAGACTTGGTACATACCTAGACCACCACCCACAGATGGTACTAGAAGAAATACGTGACCGTGACGTTATCAGGTGTCGGGTTACGTCACATTAAAGATGCATTTTTCCTCATATGTTTTGTACACGTTTTAAAACACTCCACTTTGGCCTCTTCGTAAATCAGATCGACCTCAGACTTGATTCATACTTAGACCACCACCCACAGATGGTCCTCGAAGAAATTCGTGATCGTGACGTTATCAAGTGTCAGGTTACGTCACATTAAAGATGCATTTTTCCCCATAGGGTTTGTACATGTATTAAAACGCTCCATTTCGGCACTTTCGTAAATCCGATCGACCTCAGACTTAACAAATACTTAGACCACCACCCGAAGATGGTTCTAGACGAAATTCGTGATCGTGACGTTATCAAGTGTCAGGTTACGTCACATTAAAGATGCATTTTTCCCCATAGGGTTTGTACATGTATTAAAACGCTCCATTTCGGCACTTTCGTAAATCCGATCGACGTTACACTTGGTACACACCTATACCACCACTCACAGATGGTCCTTAAAGAAATTCGTGATCGTGACGTCATCAGGTGTCACGTTACTTTACATTAAAGATGCACATTTTCCCCATAGGTTTTGTACACGTTTTAAAACGCTCCACTTTGGCATATTCGTAAATTTTATCGACTATATACTTGGTACACACTTAGACCACTACCCGTAGATGGTCCTAGAAGAAATTCGTCATCGTGGCATCATGAGGTGTCAGGCTACATCACATTAAAGATGCATTATTTCCCTATCGGTTTTGTACACGTTTTTCTTCAAACTGAACTTCGGAAGTACAAGTCTGATTGGATTAAAACTTGGTATGCATATCGACATGGATGTGTTATAGATGGAAACATTTTCCCTATATGTTTTGTACACGTTTTAAAACACCCCACGTTGGCACCTTCATAAATGCGATCAACCTCAGACTAAATACATACTTAGAACACCACCCACAGATGGTCCAAGAAGAATTTTGTGATCGTGGCGTCATCAGGTGTTGGGTTACGTCACGTTAAAAATGCGTTTTTCCCCAAATGTTTTGTACACGTTTTAAAACACTCCACTTTGGCACCTTCGTAAATCCGATCGACCTCAGTCTTGATATATACCTAGACCACCACCCACAGATGGTCCTAGAGGAAATTCGTGATCGTGACATTATCAGGTATTGGGTTACATCACATTAAAGATGCATTTTTTCCCATAGGGTTGTACACGTTTTAAAACACTCTACGTTGGCACTTTTGTAAATTATGCGATCGACGTTAGACCTGGTACATACTTAGACTACCACCCACAGATGGTCCTAGAAGAAATTCGTGATCGTACCAATGCCGAGATGGGTTATAGATGAAAATGCATGTGATGTCATCATCAAATGTCATGTGACGTCCCTTAAAGGGGCATTTTGTTCTTTATAGGCCTATATTTACAGACCTATATGTTCGATTTGGTTATAACTTGACATGTACGTATAATGTGCTGTTATAGATGACATTTTTAGTGACGTCACTGATTGTTCATCACGTGCACAGAGTATTTCGAATATCCGAAACAGCTTGTGTTTGTCCACAAACACATCTCTAGTTTTTTATTACATCTCTGTTTTTGTCTTCAAGACAAATCACCTTAGAGTGAGTAATAAAATACATAAAATTCTCTCCACTGCGCAGAGCCCCGATTTGATAAATGACATTTGACAACAAACCTTTCACAGTCTTGACGGCAACCTTTGTTTCTTTTCCGGCTTCCTCGATTCCAAGTGCCTTTCCCAATAGCACTCTACCGAACTCCCCTCGTCCCAGCTCATTCTCGATCACCATGAGATCTCTCGAGAAAGAGAGTTGCAGTCCTACGTTGCTGTACACCACGTCTTTGGATGCCTCAACGCCGTCTTCATTGGAAATACTTTCGCATACCACCGCTTGGGCAATTGGTTCCAGAGGAATATCTGAAACACATTAGTTAGTGTAACTAGATTATAAAATTGAAATTGAGACATGCATCTTGCAAGTACTTGTAATCCTCATCTAGTCATACCACACCAAAAATAATTCGATTTTCTAATCCAATGCACAGGTAAACACTATAAAAAGGTTGAAAAATTCACTGTAGGGCAATGTAATTGCCCAGCATTGGTATGAAGTTACCTCACATTGGGTTCAATTTGGTAAAAACTGTCAAACTATTGGGAAGAATTTGCCCAAGAGTGTAGACAGTTAATAACTCGACTTTTTTTTTACGGTGTACCATCCGGAGTCGTGGTCGGATTCGTCCCAAATCCGAATGATTTTGATCTCGCACTTGTTTGTGTCACTTTCAGGCCGTTTGAATTAGACAGTATCATAACATATATTCGAATAAATGACGCGGAAGTTTTTAGGTCAAATCTGACTAAGATTCAGAGTCGAATTAGACAAGTGAATTTAAAGGGAGTTCAAGATTTACCAACCTTCATATTGCACAATTTACCGGTATAGGTTTTTTTTTACCCCTTTTTTTGTAGTTTATCCTCTGCTTTTGTTTTGACTGTACTCGCTCTTTGATTCTTACCGTTCGGATGATGGGGATCTAGTCCAGGAGACGACTGATCAGTGACAGGCAGTGGTGGGAGCTCACTGTCTGCTCCTTGTGATACAACGTCATTTCTGAAAGAGGAATTATGTTACATCAACAACAATTGTTGTCTGCATCCATTTGTCACTGTAGCGCTTGAAAGTGCCCTATTTATACGCACTGTAGCACCAGAAACAGCCAGAGCAATTACATTGATTTTTAAGTGAACAAACACAAATAGTGCCGTGAAGCTGCTAATGGGTCATACTTATACAAGTAAATGTTATTGTTTTATGCTTCAAATATAGAGGGCGCAATAACAGAAATACCTGCCTGTTATCAACAAGTTATTTTATGCACGTTATCAACAAGTTATTGTTTTATGATTCAAATCAAGAGGCTGCGATAACAGGCATATGTATGGAAAAGAAAAAGATTACTTTGAAAATCAAGAGGCTGGCATATTACTTTTAAAAGAAACAATACATCTTTGCCTTCACATTAATTTTAGTCTCTTTCTGAATGTAGCCCTTTTTTCACTTACAGGCCATCTTTTACGCCTGTTTTTGTCCGTTGTTGTTTTTGACGACGCCTCCACACGACAAAAGGAAGACCACCAACGACGGCCACAATGACGATGGCTGCCACTACCGAGCCAACAATGATGACTTCAGGTGAAAAACCTGCAAGAGCAAGAGCAGCTTTTCTCAGTTTTCGTCATAAATTAGAACATTTCGCCTGTTTTATTCTTTGTACATCGTGCGGACTCACTCAACGGCTATCAAGTAGTAACTATATTAAACGTTTATTGCAGTAAGTTAAACGCGTGCAACTGTACTCTTGCAGGCAAATCTGCTGCAAAATAAAAAAAAAACCGCTAAGCTGTGGTTTCCGTTACGGTTCTGTGCCATGGAAAACTGTTATGTCCCATATCGCAATTGCGACAGAAAGTGAAAGAATCTGGTTTTATTCAGTTGGAATGTTGCAAAACTTACCACTCCTCCTGGAGGAATATGTGGGCCTAGTACTCGTGCTTTCACTTACACCTGTCGTCCGAAGCCATACTGTGATCAAGTAATGAAATTCAGGAAGAAGATTCCAATCTCAACTCATTTCTTTAATTTATAGAAACATTCTGACATAGATTGACAATGCCAGACATTCCTGGAGAGGTTTATGGAAAGAAATGTTCAAAACAGTTGAATGCCCAGACGAATTAATTAATGTGAAAAAAATGTGGAAATACAAAAACCACAACCACATACGGTTGCTCAGAAGAAATAAACTGATACTGTTTGCAATTAAAAGATACAACAAAATTACTTCATATAATTTCTTTAAACACAATCGACGAAACTCACCTGGGCAAAGCGGTTCTTCAAGTTTCCGTGACCCAGTTCCAATCGCATTTGTGACATTACAGCTGACCTCTGTGCAGTAATTGTCCTGGACATCAAATGCCAGGGTGTTACCTGTAGGCGTGCTAGGCCTGGTGCCATTTAGAATGATGTAATACTCAATGTGCCTGAGTGGATTGCCATCTGCGTCACAAGTGATGATTCCGTCCCTGTATGTCAGGGATGTTACCACCGGAACAACTGTGAGAACAAAAAGGAATTTCTTACATTCAATTTATTAACAAGTAAAGTTATACAAGTAAATACCTTTCTTGCCTGTACATGAAAATAGTATACATACAATGTAATCATGGCACCGAAAACGCATTTATTTTCAAGAAAAGCGGATTTTGTTTGTATTAATTTCCAACGACGGTCGGCCGACTATTGTTGGAAAAATTATTTTTATATCAGATAATGCCCCAAATTCAAAATTCGGTTGATCCACATTTGTCTATAAGCAGTAACACATCAATGAACGGGTTCAAAACAAGCTAGTCTTGTATCCTGAACTGACAATTCCCTCACGTCTATAAAGTGTTTTGTTTCGTAAGAAGTAGGGTCAGACAACCAGACTACAATAGTTGTTAATATTAAACATCCGAGTGAAATATATTGTATGTATTGAAGCAAATACGAATTTTTTTTCTTAATGCTATCAGGATTGGGGGACCGAGGTATTTAGGGTGTCGTCAGGACCAGGCCGGGCATACTGTGCCCTGAATAAACCATGATATAAAAAGTGTACAGTGCCCACATGTGATGAGTGGAGATTTGACATAAAACAAACATAATTAATTAAATGTTTTTCAAGCTTTTGTTTGGAAACAAAAAGATGGGCTGATAATGATACTAATTGATCAGGCTGCATCAGCTTTAAAAAAAACCCCACCCAAACAGTCATCTTAATTGTAATAAAAATAAATAGTTTCTTGAAGTTCTTGGAATAAAGGTCATTTTGTTTGAGAAAGTTTGTATTTCTGAATAACCGCAACAACTTTATTGGATCTTTCTAAAAAGAACACAAAAGGAAACAATACAAATCAGTATCTAAAATCAAACTTAATTCGATCTGGGTTCTGGGAAATTGGGCCTTTAAAGTCAATTTTATTTTTTTTCCTGCTGGTAGAGAACTCAAGATTTAAATGACTTGATTTCTTTAATTACAATTGACGAAAACTCACCTGGGCAAAGCGGTTCTTCAAGTTTCCGTGACCCAGTTCCAATCGCATTTGTGACATTACAGCTGACCTCTGTGCAGTAATTGTAATCGACATCAAATGCCAGGGCTTTACCAGTAGGCGCGTCAGGGTTGGTACCATTTAGAATGATGTAATACTCAATGTGTCTGATTGGATTGGCATCTGCGTCACAAGTGATGATTCCGTCCCTGTATGTCAGGGATGTTACCACCGGAGAAGCTTTAAAAAAAAAAATTAGTATAATTATACAACTTCTCAACATTTAAGCCTTCTCTGTCACGGCCGATAATCATAATCACACTGATAGAAAAAGAGTCCCAAATTTAGTTAGTCCACATTTTGTTTGCAATCAGTTTCACATTCATGAACGGGTAGAAAGCAGATGACCTGACAACTCCCTGACGTCTGCAAAATGGTCTTTTTCGTCTAAAGTAGAGTCAGAAAACTAGACTATAGGTAGAGCGTCTGTTTATTTTTTTCCGGCTTACATGATCAAAAACTTTAGACAAGTCAATTTAAACAATATTTGCTTTTTGTTTAGAACTTCAAATCATACACTACACTGTAAAACGCGAGAACATGTGACACGTTTACAAAATAAACGCAGTGTTTTAGATTTAATCACTATGTGACAAAATTAAACAAATCATGTGTTTTTAAACAAAACAGTTAGCGTTTAATGTCAACAGTGCTATAGGGTGTTTACTATGAGATCGGTTTTAGAAAATGTTTTAACTGTTCAATTTCACTAGTTAGCATTTTGTTTATTCCCAAAGAATAACACTTTGTTTAAAAAAGGCTTATTAACTAATTAGGACACTAATAATAACTCAAGTTATAAATTTAGCTGTTTGTGTTCAACACCTAATAAACACGGTACACGTCACGATGTTTAAATATGACCACGTGATGTTAGGTCTTAACCAATAGGATTAAATCTGATTGCGTGCTGGCGCGGCATAATCGGGCCAGTTAATTACGCGGCACATAGACAACCGCCATTTTTCTGACAATAATCTGGGCACACTAATAGAATAATGTAATGGCGAGAATTAGTATCGTCATTCGTGGTACATATGTAACAAAATTTGCATCGGGTAATGAAACAATATACATGTATCATGTAGTCTCACAGAAGGTCATGACCTAGGCTAGAGGTCAAGTTTGGTATGCATATTGCCAAGTCAGCAAGAGTACTCAGATGCAACGTATTCTGTGCATGCAGTACGACGGTTGTAGTTTGAACCAGTTCTGGAAGCTCCCACACAGGTGGTAAGTTTTGTCTTTTGTGTTGTTTGATTTAATTAATCCCGATATACAATATGATAGATTTAGAAATATGAGATGAGATGAATTAGTGGGAGCAATTATTGGCCAAAGGATCGTGTGATAAAACATGAATATGAATGGGAAAAAACAACCCTGATTTTGATTTCCTCATTTTATTTTTCTTGGATGACGATGCTGTTATACAGTATAACTGCTGTGCAGCTCACAATATTATGAAGGAAGTTCTGTATTTGAGCCACATTATGGGGTGGTCTATGTTGAGTGTATACTTAATATGAGGCTATAAGCCTATGGGGCGAATTACAATTGCAAACACGCAGTGTCAAAATCTTTGTAATCTTGGAAAATTCATTGAATTGGATTTTTTTTTGAAATCGTGATTTAACTATTCAATAAAACCATGCTAGTGTTATCACCACTGCCTAAGTTATGTAAGCTGAAAAGGACCAGCATGAATGATTTTGAAAAGAAAATTCTAGTATTTGTAAGGTCAGGTACAAATTGTTAAACCATAATTTCCATTTCACATGATGTTATGGGTGTTTTAATATTTTCTGTCTATATTTTCAGGGTACGACTAATCCCTTGCAGATGAAGGAAGCTATTGACTTTTAAAATAAGGTAAGTGTCTTTTGGCATTTATCGTCATTTGGCAGTGCAGTGTGTGATTGTAAAGATCAGCTGTGTATAAAACTTTTGAAAAAACCCGCAGTGCGTGTACATAAAAGATGATCCCCCAATTTTTGGTACAATGCAGTATTTCTCAGGGATTCGAAACCATTCGTTTTACAGAACATGTGTTATGTTTTGAATATAGGGTCCTCTGTAGACGCTCGATGTAATTGCATACATGTACGTTCAGCAGAACACCAAGTTTGAACGTGGCGAGGGTACGAAGACGAGGAGAGTGCTAACTATTCATGAGGTAATTTTGTATTGTAAAATATATTATTCAAATCTTCAATTTCATTGAATGATGATGTTTGGCTGAGATTCTATCTTGCATAAGAACCTTTCAACTTCCACTGTAAATTTACTCTGGCGGTAAAACATCATGAAATGAAAAAGTATAACATTCTAGGTGAATACAATTTTGAAATACAATTTTAAATAGAAAGTCTCCGTAAATACCTACATGACTGCAAAGTTATTGGTACGAAACTGTGAAAAGCTTGCCTATTTTCTTCAGATTTTATTTTTAATATTTGATCCATGATCAAGCTCAAGCTGTAACTTTACAGTCTTTGTGCACATTATCTCTGATAACAAAGGTTAATATTGACGTGAGTCCCAAAAAGGCCGACAATTGTGTAATTTACTGTTGAACCCAATTTTGTAATCAGTTTTCATATTCTTCCTGGAGTAAACTTTATTAATGACTTGTCATTTTAAGGTCTCCATTATTTTTGTTACTGTGAGCATGATTTCACTTTCAAAGTTGATCAGTTTTTGTATGGCTCACTCAGAAATCTTGTTTATGTCCACAGAATGCTGCTGAACCAGACAGAGTATCTGCATCAAAACTACAGTTTACATTACATGTGGAGACACCATCAAGAAAGTCTCGAACTACAACACGTGCAATGATGCACTTCTTCTCCAGCTTGGGGTACTATGCTTTTGATTTGGATTATCCAAAGTATTTTCACGTGCTTTGAGTTCTTTTCAAAAAATCATAATCAGAGAAAAGTTTTCCTGGCAGATTCCAGCAAATTCATGCAGTTCACTACAAGGTATTTTTGTATAATTAATTGGATATATTGTTGAAATCTCAGCTAAAGATCAATACTTATTTTACCACTTCAAACTATGACGCAAACCTTCATAGGTTTTAAAAAACAAGTATAATTCATTTGCAGTTTTACTTCTAACTCTCATTGAATTGGAAAATAATTGTTTTTAGCCCTATTTACAGATATATTCATTTACTTCAAATTCACCCTTTTGTGTTTGTTTATGTTTTTGTTTCTTTGTCTTGATACTTGTGAAAAATGTAATTGGCCTTAATGTTGGGGTCTTAAAAAAAGGATTGTTGGAAACATAATAGGCATGTGGCATATTCACATAAATGTCACATTATTTTTGCTGTCGTGATGTACAATATTCTCTAGGGGTGACCATAAAAATACATTTATATTTTATTGTGTCCATTTTCATGATTCGATAGAACTCAATAGGCCTTTCACCACAATCCTATAGGTGAAAATGAAGACAGCTTTGTGAAGTGCCCTAAATGCGTTTATTTCAATGTTGTTAATATTGTGACTGAAGTTTTACTTGCAATTTTGAATACTGTTCGAAAACTAAACACACACTGTGAAAATAAACACTTGAAAATAATAATAAATGGCGTCACATGTTTAAAATCTGTCACAGGCAATAAACGTGTCACATGTTTAAAATTACAACAGATTGACGTGTTTTCTTTTTGACTGTGTGTTTACTTTTTAAACGTCAGTAGTATTTAAATGTTAAACGCCTTTGATGTATATATTTTAAACACTGTTCCGTTTAAAGATTAAACACCGTCAGTGTGCTGATTTTAAACACCAAATATGTTTTCAAATTAAACATGTTCATTGGATAAACTGCGTCACATGTTTAAAAACTGTCACAGATTAGTGTTTATTTAGGTGTTCTAAACCTAAACACATGGTTTACAGTGTACATTTTATTGATTTTCATCAGCTCTGATTCAAACGTCTATGTGTAGGTGATATTAGTTTACCAAACGTTAAGATGTGCTTTCATACACTTCGTATACATATACAACCTAATCAACTTTTTCAGAACGCTGTTCCAGGTAATAGAGCAATTACAATATAAGTAAAAAGAACTTACACAGAACATTGAGTGTAATGAATTCAGACTGTGTAGCTTGATGTCCACCTGTGCGACATTCTATCCTGCCTCTATCATCACTTCGTGTTGGAATGAATGGGCGGTATGTACTCCGTGTATCTGTTGCCTCACCACCAGGTGGAATCGTCTCGGTGTCAGGTGTAAGAGGATCGCCGCCGTTAAACCAGTCTAAGAACACCCGTGGTATCGCTCCCAATGCTGTGCAGGTAAGTGTGACGTCAGTATCCTCTGTCACAGTCACCATTGCACCTGAGGATTTGTCTTCACCATCAACAGCTATGGTGAGACTGGTGGCAGGAGCTGCATTAACAGAAACATATAAACAGTTAATATCATTTGATTTTATTACCATTTCTTTCACCTTCTGTCGTCAAAATCAATACGCGATCAACACTATTGAAATGCAAACCGAGTAGAGAGAATTGTGATCAAGTAATGAATTTCGAAAGAAAATTCCAATCTCAAACTCAAATCGGTGGTCGAGTGGTATAGACATCTGCACTAGAAAGCAGGAAGTCGTGGGTTAACTTTCACTCGGGAGGTTACACACTGAGTATACAGTGTTTATACGTTGGTGAAGGGCAAACCTAATTTGAAATAAATTGTCACTGTTTTCAAATAAAAGATAAAACAAAATTACATCATTTGATTTCCTTAATTATTACAATCGACGAAAACTCACCTGGGCAAAGCGGATTTTCAAGTTGCCGTGACCCAGTTCCAATCGCATTTGTGACATTACAGCTGACCTCTGTGCAGTAATTGTCCTCGACATTAAATGCCAGGGTTTTACCAGTAGGCGCGCTAGGCTTGGTGCCATTTAGAATGATGTAATACTCAATGTGTCTGATTGGATTGGCATCTGCGTCACAAGTGATGATTCCGTCCCTGTATGTCAGGGATGTTACCACCGGAACAACTGTGAAAAAAAGGAATTGCACACATTCAATTTATTAACAAGTCCTGAACATTTAAGCCTTGTCTGTAATAAATGCATATTTTCAGGATAAAAGGAGGTATGATGTCTTGATATTTTCGGAGATCTTTGAGAATGATACTGCCTAGATTAAAACGACAGGCCACCTGTAACGTTGTGGATTAGTAAATGCACATTTCGGTTGAAGGTAATGTACATTTGGTAAACATAACAAAATCTACCAAATTATCATGAAATACCTTTCTTGCCTGTAAGTGAAAAATAGTCTACATACAATGTTATTATGGCACCTGAAATGCTGTTATATTCAATGAGAGCGGATTTTGTTTGTATCAATTTCCAACGACGGTCGGCCGACCATTGTTGGAAAAATAATTTTAATATCATATAATGCCCCAAATTCACTGAAATTCAGTTATTTCACATTTGTTTGGAAGCTAACCCCTGGTTCAGACAGGCGTTCCAGGTAGCGCCGAACCACATAGATTAAAAGCGACTCAGGTCGACCTTATTAGAATTTTGGTTTCAGACAGGCGAACTTAAACATTGGAGTATTGAGTACAAACCAACAAACACGGGATCTTAGCAACAAGCGGGCATTGTGCAGCGTCCATGCATGGGCTGCGTGCGCTTTCCTTCACTACGCAAACGCCCTGGCCGTGTAATACGTAATCGATGCATCGACGCTGATTGAGAGCGTATGCGTGAAGTGCGCGCGTATCGAAGAAGACAGGCTGCTAGCACGTACGCCATGTGCGCTCGCTTTATCTCTTGCACGTCACGCCACGTACGAGCAATTTATATTTCAAGACTGCGCCGTGTCCATAGAGATATAAATCTGTGGCCGTGCCTGTACAATATGGATACTGGAAATCTCGGTTTTTCGCTTTATAAAAATGTATCTTGTGTTGTATTGGGGCGACAGTACATTTATTGTAAGTTTGTGTTTGGAAGGATTAAATCTGCAAAAGAAAACTTTTAAAATATAAACACTGCGTCGCGCGTTAAACACATCGCCCGCAGTCCTTATTTTTGAAGGTCACTACTTATTTAAATACATTTTCATACATTTGCATTGATTTCGGTTCATGACTAGAGCGACGTCTGAAACCAAGTCGCTCCTGAGTCAGCCTCGACTCCATGGGCGCGTGCGCGTACCTTTACTAACCCCTGGCCGTGATGTACACGTAAACGATGCTGACTGGCTATTCAGAGCGTACCGCGCGCGCATTTTGAAGATTGCACGCCGTGTGCGCCCATTATGCGCTTGCGTGCTTTGCAGTCACGTCAAGTACGAATATTCAAAACTGCGCGATGCCTGAACGATATAGGATATGGCAGCCTCGTTTTTCGCAAAAAGACCCTATATCTGCGGTTGTAAAGGGACGAAAGGGGTACGTACCTTTAATACAAATATTTGCTAAATGACGCAACGTCCGAACCTTATGTTTGAAAGCATTGATTCCTCAAAAACACAACTTTCAACATTTTAAAGATGGCATTGGCGCGTAAAACGGATAAACTGCAGCAGTAGTTTAGGGGGACTGCCTGGCACACTTTGACCTTTGGCATAGAAATATGTAAAGGTCACATAAATATGTAAATATGTAAATATGTATATACAGATATAAATATTAATTAGAGTGGAGGTAGGAATTTTTGGTACAGCTTGACCTTTTGTATGGATGAATAGGAATATCATAGGGTAAATAAATAAGCATTCTGGCACATGTTGACCCCTTTGTATGGATAAACATGAATAAGGCATATCATATGGTACATTTATTTGGCACAGTTTGACCTTTTTAATGAAATGATGTCCATGAGACGATGAGTCATATAGTGCGTGATGTCAGCTTACCGGGAGGTCCGGAAGTGAGCATCTACCCAAGATAATTCTCGGACAATGGAAAGTACGGTGGCACCAGCTTGACCACGAAGAGGAGTCAATTCGAGATAATCCCAAGACAATAAATGGTAGACTGCGTCGGCAGACTATTGATCGTATTTTGTACGTTGAAAGTGAAGGGTATTAAAAGAGAATCCGATAATTACTCTGGCAATTGACTGTTGGGAGAGTATAGATAATCAGAACCAATTGAAGCGCTTGTGTATGTGGAAGCGGGTACGTGGGAAAGTTCGAAACATTCACCGTGCATGCTCTTGTTGAAGTTTTTTAGAATTGGGGGAAATAAACAAGAAATTTTTGTGGAAAAAAACATCATAATGTCTACCAGAAAACGTATGCGATCGGAAACGCCGCCATTAGTCCAACCAACTGAAGCAAACAATCTTTTTTGCTGATGCATCCGATGTGAAGTACCGTGTTTTTTCCATCTTTTCTCGGGAACGAGACGACATTATTGTTCAACTAGATGTTTGAAAATGAGAATCAAAATATGAAATTTTTAGGGAGTTCAAGCCTTAATGCCCCTTTAACGTTGTCTGTATATGTTGGAATGCACCGAACCCTCGTTATACCTGTAGCATCGTGCCGGACTTGTTTACAAAATCAAGGATATAAAAGGGTCTTTTTGTTTTAAGGCAATGGTATACTTCTATTTTATATTGAAGATTTAAAGTTTCATAAGACAACTAGTTTATTTTGTCTAATTACCCCTAACAATGTCCCAAAGTTGGACACGGTGCGTGATAAAGCCATACATGAAGACCGTACATATTTCGGGGATTATTGACAGGGCGTGTCCAAACACTAATTATATGACTGCATGACAGTAGGCTTTCCCGATTGCTTAACTGTAAGACAACACTAACAAAACAAATAAGTACAACTGCAGAA